CAAGGGCGAGGACACGCACAGGCCGCACCTCTAGTGAGGCCCGCATAGTATGTGGGAGACTCGTGCCGCCGCCCCTGCCACCCCTGTGTCAGTGTGCCTGTGGTAGCGAGAGACTGCCAGCGACAAGCTGGAGGCAGGTCGCTAGACTGAGATGAGACCGCCAGTGGATGTGGGAGTCCACCGCGCACCGCGCTGCGAGCCTGTCGTGTCCCTTGTCAGGAGCAGGAGAGCCCCACCTGTGCCCCTGATCGTCCTTCCAAAATCCTGCTCGTGCAGGTGTGGACCCTGTCCTCGTCCCATCCCTCGTTTGGCGTGTCTGTTTTCTTTCTTTTTTCGTAGTGTTCTTGCTCCCAGCGCTTGCGCTTCGGCGGTTAGTGGTGCACTAACCTCCGAGAAACCCTTCGGGTCGCTCCTCATCGCAAACCCTGTCAGCAGAGTCCTCCTACGGGAATGTACGTAAGAGCCACATTCCAGGCCCCAAATGACGTGTGAGTGTTAGAGTTGTTTGGTATTGCTAAAAATCTCTCTATCTGAAAATCGTGGGGGCGGGGGGGGGGGGGGGGGCTGTGACCCCAAAGGGGAAGAACATTTAGAGAGAAAAAGAATTTTGAACCCTCAAAGAATGAAAGAAATCACACTGGCTGGTCTCCTTAAAATCCCTGTGTGGTGGCGGCGTGCCGTCCTCCCATCCCTCCCTTGGGTTGTGTGTTTTCTTTCTTTTCTTTTTGAAAGAAATAACAAGTCTCTCACACGACACTAGGCAAATCCCTGTGTGGTGGCGGCGTGCCGTCCTCCCATCCCTCCCTTGGGTTGTGTGGTTTTCTTTCTTTTCTTTTTGAAAGAAATAAGAAGTCTCTCACACGACACTAGGCAAATCCCTGTGTGGTGGCGGCGTGCCGTCCTCCCCTCCCTCCCTTGGGTGGTCTGTTTTTCTTTCTTTCTTTCTTTCTACGACACTAGGCACGGGACTGGGCGCGCACTGGCACTGACACAAGTACTAGTACACACCACGGGAGCCGCAAAAACCAATTTGAGCACTCGCACCTGCCACCAACAGGCCCATCCCTCCCTTGGTTGCCTGTTTTCTTTCTTTCTTTCTGGCACTGACTTATCCCTGTGTGGTGGCGGCGTGCCGTCCTCCCATCTCTTTTGTTTTCTTTCTTCTTTCAACTATCTTCTCTAATATCTGGCACTGACACAACACAATCTCTCTCTCTCTCTGACACACAAGGAGGAACGCAGCTCGTTCGTTTTCTTGAAAAAAGCACAAACGCTCATGACAGTGTAAAACGTACACACATGGTCGTGCTTGTGGTAGTGACGTGCGCCATCAAAAAGAGAGCCAGCGAGCCGCCGCTATGGCTCGTCGGCGAGCATCTGGTTCACCTGCTGCTTCACCTGCTCCTTCAGCCGGTCGTTCTCCCGCTTGAGCTTCGTAAGCCGGACCTGTTGCGCGCCCATCTGCATCTTGAGCGAGGAGGCCTGGACTGCCGCATACTCCTGCAGCACGGCGCCGCGAAATCCGCGCTCGCCCTTCTCCTTGTAGAGCACGTATACGAAGAGCAACATCATCGGCACCTACTCATAGCTCG